TAAAGAACAACAGTTTGTCCCACGCACCACACTCGCAGGACCGTCCTCTTTCACGCCCACTCTTGTCGCAGCCGATGGTCTAACCATCGCTATGACAAGTCGGGGTAGGGGGCAACCCTTCTCAATCCCTTCACCCACTTCGGGTCCCTCCAGACCCGAATTCATCACCCGCGGTCCGCTGAGCGCCTCCATGCCACATAACAAATGTGCTGCTCGGGGCAATCCACACGGTAGACTCATGTAGGCACATGGCCTTCAGATCAATCGAAGGTCACAAGAACCCCTTCACATATATGTCGAAAGCCATAAGGCCCACCAAACCCGACAGGTAGGCATCCCAAGTGCCTAGTCTTATGAAGCACAAAGGGATGGACCTAGGCCCATCTCAAATACTCCGACAGCTTGCACACACCCGTACAGGGGTGAACGTCTCACTACCATGAAGAAGGGGATATCGGAAACCCAAGACAGTGACCAGGTTATGGCCACCTCTTGGCTTTCGAAGAAGTTCCCTGCAAGCACTGTCCTTTCGACCCCACCTACGCTATGCTCGCAGGAGCCCTTCCAAAATAGAGCACGGGGCGAGCCATGTCCATAAGCAACCTGCCGACTCATCCCTTGTTAGTAAACATGACCGCTGCGAAAAGAAAACGCAGGATTGTCCACTATGAAGACCAACCTGCTCCCTCAACAAGAGCAGGCAAGGTAGACTCAAGTAGCCTAAGAAGGGGTTCGAGTTGAACATTCAACCACATAAGGCCTATTGAAGAGCAACCAATTCTACTTGTTGCACGACACATATCTTCTCGTGATGGACGACGTCGTTGAATGTCATGTCGTCGAGATACGTGAAGACGAATCCAACCCGCCTGAACTACAAAGCTGAGCAGAGCACGATCAAGTTAAAGAGATATGCCCTCAGGATTGTCACACGCTCAACAAGGACGAGCAACGACCTCAAAGCCTCAAAACACCACGCTCGACAAAACCTCGTGCTCCAGGCCGCCCAGGACCTGTACTCACCCGGGCTGTGAGGCAATCTCAGGCTCAGGGAGGACAGGCTCAGCCTCTTCTAACCGGTGTCCCAGATCGAGGCACCAAGAGGCTCAAGATTGCCCCACAAGCTGAATCGTTGAGCCCCGGTGAACGAGTCAAAGTGATGGTGGTGAACCACGAGGAAGGAGAAAAGGAAGATCCACCTCCAGGCATTGAAATCATCCTAAGAGATATCCTCACCATGATCAAAAGATTGGAGGACATTTGCACCATGGTGTCTCTCCACTAGGAGGTGAGTTCTCCCCACATACCCCAAAATGACAAGAGGAACCCAACACAGCCACCTCAAGTGGGCCAGACATCAGTACACGGCGATCATCTGCCTCCTTCCAAGACTAACATAACACAGTCTTCCAGGTCGCCTCAATAACCTTCACCCAAGAAGACGTCCAAGCAATGATTAACAAGAGCATCCAAGGCCTCCAGGTGTCGAAATTGTCCAAGACTCCCCAATACAAAAAGCCTTACTTGCCTTCAATTGACCAAGTCCCCTTCCCCACTAGACACCAAAAAGGGAAACTACCGACCTTCAATGGCACAAGGTCACCACAACAACACATAGCCTCCTTCACGTCCGCATGCCAGGAGTCAGCCGCAGACACCAGACTACTCTTACGACAGTTCGTCGAAACACTCGAGGGACCCACATTCAAATGGTATGCATGTCTACCACCAAATTCAATCCACTCGTGGGAAGAAATTGAACAACTCTTTTACAAATGCTTCTTTGAAGCCGAATTGGAAGTCTTAACTATAGAGCTCCTCACCATGTCGCGAGAACCAAACGAGTTAGTAGGAAATATATATCTAGAGGTGGCGTGACCTCGCCATGTGTCTGAGAAACCCTATGAGAGAGATAAAATCCATGAAAACATGTGTGAGAAACATGAAACGAGAGATTGCCCTACACGTTGAGGCATCCAACCCTAACACCTTCTCTGACATGATCACAAAGGCTGCCAAGATTGAGAGCTAATTAAAACACCATGGAGGAGATCGACTCCAAAGTTAAAAAACTAGTCAGGATCGTAACGCCGGGGGCAACATGTCGAACCCCCGCACCAATCGACCCAAGAATGTAATAAGTGCAACCATCACAACTGCGCCCCTCGACTCTAAACTTGTGGCCAAATGGTTCTGACCTTAGACATGTCACGAGGGATACTGATTAAAGCCAAGATGGATGCGCAACTACAAGCCCCTCAGAAGCAGAATTACAATAACGTGCCGCCGCCGTAAAAATACCATCAAACTGAGGAATTCTTGTGCAGACTGAATCATAAATATAGCTTCAATAAAGAGTGGGTCCCCACCCTCATGGAAATGTTCCTTGACCAAGAGATGTTGGTACCCCCTGACGCCAAGAAGCTAGAGCAAGCAGAGCTCATTGATTACCCCAAATATTGTGCCTACCATTGGAGTGTGGGACACCTAGTCTAGGATTGCATTCAGTTAAAAGAACACATGGAAGCCCTGATCCGAAAAGGACAGATCGACCTAGAAGGCCTCAAAAAGGCTTTCGAGACCCCAAAAACTTCCCACATGGTCACGGTGCATAAGGGATCCATCAGCGACTCTCCTCCACCCAAGCTACCTCCCAAGCGACTTTCTGTCCTATTCGACATGATGTTCCAGCATGAGATGATAGCGCCCTGCGTTCCTAAAAGACAAGAATTAAGCATGCAAAAAGGCCAAAACCCTTGATGCAAATACCATCAACAAAGGTGCCATGACTTGGCCAACTGCAAGGCGTTCCACTCTTTCTTAAAGAACTACATCCAAATCGGTCTGATAGATTTAACTGATGGACAACCTTCATCACCACAAGAAAACCAGAAGGAACAGGCTTCCTCCCAACAAGGATCCAAATCAACTCTAGCAGTTCCTTTAAATGATTTTCAACTGATAACTCAGCCCCTGATCTTTATTAGTGAGGAGAATCTGAAGACTTGAGAAGGACCCAATCTGTCCCGAGGGCAGGACCTTAAATTTGCCTTCCAAAAAAAAAAAAAATGGAAAAAAAAATTAGTATCATCAGATAGAAGAAAACAACTACTAGTTCAATTACAAACTAGAAAGGTTACAAAAGGAGGGCTCGAGCTAAAAAGGCTCAAGGAAAAAGTCCACAAAAAAAAAAGAGAAGGGAGAAAGCCTCGCACATTCAGAAGCGATCAAGAGAATCCTAGATCGTCTCTTTTAACTCCTACGTGTGTCGCAACAGGGTCTGCTTCTCTTCCTAGAGGTGAGAAATCTCCTAAGAAGTCGCATTAGCAAGGAGGTGACTGCCGCAAAGTCAGAGTCCAGCTGCTCTAACTAGCGCAACCGCTGATGCAGCGCTTCCCAGCTAGTGTCTCGACGAGCGCTTAACGAAGCCACCCCAACTTGCAATTCTTCCATCTCAGCCTTCACCACCTCAAGCTCCCCAAAAAGGTTCGCAACCTCCATCGAAAAGGAGTCTCGCTCTGAAATGAGCAGGGCGTGTTCTTATCCACACTGTAGCACGAGACCTTGCCGATCAGCCAAGTCCTTCTCCAAGGCATCCAAACGCTTCTCAAAAGAGGCTTGTGCCGCATCCTCAAATGAAAGGGCTTCGGTGCCCCAGTCACTCAAATCCTGTGACAACTCATCAAGACGGTCGGGGGCCCACGCTCCTCAGACTGTCCACACAAGCCTTAAAAACCTTCATCTGATCCCTGAGCTCCAATAAGGGACACCCCCTCAATCCTTGAAGGCCTGAACAGAGCATCCCCCTCACCATCGACCCTTTGAAGCTCGAAGATGACTACGGAGCGACAGGGAAACCAATCACATCCCGAGGCGGCACATCAAGCGCAGGGACCTTGGAGTCAGGAGGCATCATAACCCTTGTAGCAACGCGAGACCCAATATGAGAGCTTGCCACGGGCCCCCCTGAAGCATGAGAACCTGAAGACTGCACCACTGATGAGTTGGAAGGGCGAAATCTCGAAGCACCCATCTCCTGCTGCGTAGCTTTGAAACAGCTGGAACTGACGTCACAAGGGGTGCAGGAGGTGCTAGACGAGAGCAAGTAGTAGAGGACATGCCAACCCCGACCCTAGATATAGGGCTTCTCGAGCCATGCCCTGGATCAAGAGGCAGTGCAACCCTATTCGGGACTTGGCCGGCCCGAGTTGTATGTACAACTCGGGGCATTTAAAAGAATAGAAAAAATATAAAATATAAAAAATAAAGATATGTTATGCGCATTTTTCTTACATGATTTAGATATATTTAGCAAAGATTGGTTAGATTTGTTTGGTCAAAATTGGTGATTGTTTTTTTCCATAAACATATTTTTCTATTTTTTTAGATTCTTAAAATATCCAAACTGTAAATTGAGTTTTTTTAAATCTATATCTTTTCTACTTTTTTAACCTCCTTCTAATTGTTTGAAGGTGTTGTAGGTTTGAACTTTCTTTTGGTATATAGTTTTTATTTTAAATTTTTTTTCTAAAGCCTTCTAGCCCCGTTTCGACTCGGCCGAGTGTAACGGCACACTGGTTGCTGGTTCCTGCTATATTTTACATTATTATACAATTTCCACGAGTAAGACTTTGTAACAAAATCCTCTTCATCATTTTTGTGCTGTATGTTATTTCATTACCCAAAAACTATAAAATGAGCATTATGGCCCGTTCCATCTCATACTTAATTTTCTACGGTTTTCATAAGTTAAACTTGGGATTAAATCCTCACCGTCATTTTTGTGGTATACGTCATTTAATTACCCAAAAATCTTAAAACACTGTTTCGGATATAAGGAATGAATAACTTATTCAAGAATCAGCTTAAACCAAAACATAAGATCTAGACTTTCATTCATAGGCCACGACTCTTTCTACAAAGCACAAACTACAAAAGAAATTAAAAATATAAATAAGTAAACCAATTGAAAATTGAACAACCACACATGCAAGGAAGAAAAGTATTCTCACTGTCCAGAGTCACAGCCGCCACGGCTGAGGACCATCTCATTTCATCATTTGTATACTCGACGGTCTTTCTTCAAAAGCAACATTTTCATGCCAAGCTTCAAAGCACAGAGCCACAAACTTCTCATTTCTATTCCTCTCTCTTTCGATTCTCGAGAGTAGAAGTTAAGCAACTTGTATTTCCTACCTGGGAGGGAATTAATGGCTGCCATTCTACTAGTACAGTTCCTCTTGCTGGTTGCGATCCCCGTAACACGAGCTCAATCTCCTGCCGCACAAAACATAAGCTTAGGCTCTTCTCTCTCTACAAACCCATCCGGTAACAATCGTAGCTACTGGCTCTCCCCATCTGGTTTCTTTGCCTTTGGTTTATACCCCCTCCCTAATACCCAAACATTCTTAGTTGGAATCTGGCTTGATAAAACCCCTGAAAAAACCCTGGTCTGGTGTGCAAACAGAGACTCTGCTCCTCTCTCTACCGGCTACTCCATCATCCTAACCACCAGTGGGAGCCTCATTTTGAGAAGCCCACAATCTCAAGCCCAAGTTATCCCCCTTATCTCTGATAATTTAGTTCCAACATCCTTTGCGGCCATTAGAGATGACGGTAACTTTGTCCTCTATGCTTCTAATGGCACTGTATGGCAAAGCTTTGATTCTCCAACTGATACAATTCTACCTGGCCAAAATCTTAAAACCGATGCTCAGCTCTACTCGAGTTTCTCTGAGACTAACCATTCAAAAGGGAAATATATGCTTAATATGCCGGATCTTCAGCTCTACTACCTAGCGCATGGAAGTATGACTAATTTTGACGTTAGAGACTCATATTGGAGCACACAACTTCAAGGGGTACGTAGCAATCTGACACTGATTCTTGAACCAGATGGGCGCTTGCATTTCTCGGATTCATCTAATTCCTCAGAAGGTGAACTCACTGGTTCAGATTCTAGTGCTGTTCTTTACAGAGCAACTCTTGGAGTTGACGGGAATTTTCGCCGTTTCTCTTATGCTTTGGACCCAAATGGTGCCATGACCATGAACTCGAACCCATGGAGTTGGATCCCTGATTCTAACCCATGCCAAATTAAAGGAAGATGTGGCCTGAACAGCTTTTGTAAGGCTAATGATAACTCTTATAGTTGCATGTGTCCTTCTGGTTTTGAATCTAAAGATCCACTAGACATGTCTCAAGGTTGCGAGAGGAACTTCAGCATTATAGCTGAATGCAGAAGAGAAAGAGGGAATGGGAATTTGAACGTTGCCGAGATGGAGAGCCTGGAGATGGTCGATAATGCCTACGAGAATTTGACATTGAGCCAAGAGAGGTGCAAACAAGCTTGCTTAGACGATTGCTCCTGTGCTTTAGTTCTATTCATTAACATGCAGTGTAAGAAACAGGCACTTCCATTGAAATACATGAAGCAGAGTTCAGGAGCTTTGACACAAAAAACTTTTGTCAAAGTTGGGAGTTTTGCTTCTAATCCAACTCCATCGCGTAGGAAGCCTATAATCTGGGCTACTATTGTGCTTGCTGCTTGCTCTTTTCTTCTTACACTAATTATTGGCTTTCTTTGTGTTCAATCGAGGGTCTCGAGATATAAAAAGTTTAGGGCAAGGAGCAATTCTGATGTAGAGGATAGCAGTCTGCGACTGTTTAGTTATGAGGAGCTCGAGGACGCCACAGGTCGGTTCCTCGAGAGTTTAGGCAAAGGCTCTTTTGGAGCTGTTTTCAAAGGAGAACTACCCAACGGTGTTAACATTGCAGTGAAGAAGCTCCATGGGCTGATTGAAGATGGAGAGAGAGAGTTTCGATCAGAGTTGACGACCATTGGGAAGACTCACCATAAGAATTTAGTACAGTTGCTTGGCTACTGTGATGAAGGGTCCCATAGGCTTCTTGTTTACCAGTTCATGAGCAATGGGTCACTTGCAAATGTAATGTTCAATCCAGAAACAAGGCCAAATTGGGCACAGAGAGTGGAAATTTCTCTAGGCATTGCTAGAGGTGTGCTATACTTGCACGAAGAATGCGAGACCCAAATAATACATTGCGACATTAAACCCCAAAACATACTCTTGGATAATAATTTTACACCCAAAATATCAGATTTTGGACTTGCAAAGCTCATGGGCGAAGATCAAACGAGAACTTTTACAGATATGAGGGGCACAAGGGGATACGTTGCTCCAGAATGGCACAGGAATTTACCGATCACTGTGAAAGTTGATGTGTATAGCTTTGGGATCATGTTGTTGGAGATCATATGTTGCAGAAAGAGAATCGAGATGGATGCTCCAGAGGAAGAAATCATCCTTTTTGAATGGGTTTATAATTGCTTTGAGACCAGAAATTTAAAGAAATTGGTGGGGGTAGAAGAAGTTGAGATGAGGGGATTGCAGAGGATGGTGATGGTAGGGCTATGGTGTGTGCAGGAGGATCCAAGCGTGAGGCCTTCCATGAGGAAGGTGGTATCCATGCTTGATGGCACGCTGGATGTACAAAGTCCACCCAACCCAAGTCAATTTCTATAAAATCTCTCTCTCTCTCTCTCTCTCTCTTTCTCAACCCAAACCAGTTCAGGTAAAATCTCACTCTCTCTCTCTTTTGTTGTATTTTGCTTTGAACCATACTTTGTTGTTTCTAACTAATATCTGGTTCTGAAAGTGGAGTTTGTTTTATTTGTATGGAGAGAAGAGGTGGGTAGTAAGTGTCTAATGGCGTGATCGTTAGCGTCACCGCGCTCATATATGGTATGTCTCATGTTTGATGTGGTAGAATTGCCTTACTATAGGGTTGTAAAATAGTATGTTGTAATTTTTTTTCTTATGAAAAATGGGTAGGGGCCCTTTTACTCCATGAAACTTAAAAAAAAAAAAAAAAAGGAAAACAAGTGATGTGTTATTTATCCCACATTGGAAAGTGAGACGAATAAGTATTATTTTAAAAAAAAAGTTTATATAACGTTGCAACCTTAAAATGTAGAATTACATATGCACCTCAAAAATCCATCGGAAAATATTGTCTTAATATTGAAAAACCCTCTAATTGATCATCTTGACAACAAGATGTATAAATATGAAAAAAGAGAATTTTGAGTCCCAAAAATAGTGCATCTTGTAACACACTATCTAGACCCTCCATTTTCAAGATTTTCATATGTTTATAGATCTACTTAATTTTAACTGTTTTTAGAGTTTAAAGTTTTATAATTAGATATAAAAATAGATTTTGAGATAATCCTAAGAATATTTTACACCAAAATTCCATGTTATGATAAATTTGGAGGTGTACCTTAATTTGATTGTTTTAAGTTGCAACCTTGTAGAAACCACACCCTTATTTAAATATGAGTTTATTTTCAATAGATGGAGTTGCTATTGACATACAAGTCAAAGTGATAATTAAATTTGGATAATCACATGTCATGACCGCCCCAAACTGGAGGGCAACAGAGTACGGGATTGTGACCGGAGGTCGCGTACGTCACTTAGGTGGAAGTGGCATCAATACGTGTTATAAATGCGGAATCAAAGAAAACCACGAGAAATGAATAAAACAAACTCCAAACACAACCATACAAGAAATTGAGCAAAATAACACTGAAACTTATATTATTACACAAACAACTTGGAGTGGTACTGATGGCCTGTTACACAACATCTAACTTTAATACAGACAAAAACATGGCCCACGACTGCAAAACACATACAAGCAAAAGATCTCCTTGGCAGGTACAAGCCTTTGTCGACTAGATCGATGACCCCACTGGCTGTTCTTGACCTACAGCTTCTATGCTACAGTGATGGAAGAATAAGAATGAGCTATAAAGCCCAGTAAGAGGATCTAGTTGTTATGCATCAGTGATATATCCATCCAGGCATCATGAATGATTCCTTTCACTATAAGCAATCATGGTGGAAAACATTCAATTTAGTAATCTTATCAATATATTCATCACAGATGGCATATTGAATAGCATGGCTATCATATAATCAGCAAAACTATTATCTATCACATCTACACATCCAATCATTAACCACTCACTCCTTAGATTCACCTATTCCCGAAGTAGAAGCCCTATTCATCAGGGCTAACTAATCCCATTGTTTGGGACTTCTACCATCCCTCGGGAGAGAGGGTAATGAAAATGAATGCCCCATTCAGTACCTCCCTCACACTCATACACACAGTCCCTAGCGCGCTTTGGGGCTTTTGATAGGTACTTGCCTTGCAAGACACGGTTCACTACCGGCAATCACTTTCATATTAGATCCCATCACACTACCATGGATTACCTGTGTGTAGTGTCACTTATACCACTTTATCATTATCGAAGCATAATATGGTCATACTTAAAGCATGCCGATAAATCACATATCACTAGGCACTTACCCCTTATCACTTGTCACCTTGCACTAGTCATATAATGGATCTCTCCAAGGAACAAGCATCTCTGGTCAGGGGCAAACAGTAGTCTACAACAGCGTCTCGCCTCCTAAAACTCTGGGCGAAGAGACTGCTTGGCCCAGCACCAGAATAAGGTTTACCCCGTTGACATAGAGTGGACACCTGCACTGCTTCGACTGTTGCTAGAACAAAACATGATACAGTTGCCGAAGGTCAATACTGTGGAGTTGGCTGGGCAAGAAGCAAATGAGAGGTACTGCACCTATCACATGAGGGTCTGCCACCCCACTCACGACTGCTATAAGCTCAACAACACTATCAAAGCCCTTATCAACAAGCATTAGATAACTCGAAGAATTGAAAAAGGCATTCGGGGCAACTAAGGCATCTCACATAATCACAATCCAAGAAGATGACGAGGCACGGGCACCTCCTATCCTTCGTGCATTCTTCTCCATAATACTCGAAGAAGGAATCGCCATCCCAAAGCCGACAAGGCAGCTTAAGTTTTTGTCTCCAGGGAACGAGAATCTCTGGTGCGCATATCACCAGATACATGGCCATGAAATCAGCGAGTGCACTGGCTTCCATAAGATCTTGGCCAAAAAGATGCAGCAGTGCTAGGAAGTTCAAGGCGACCCGACAAGACACCCTCAAGTCCCTCTTCTGCCTGCATAAGAAGACCTCTCAACGCAAGCCAGGAAGCACCGAGAAAGACCCTCTCCAAGTGCCCTTTGAAGTGATGCTCCACCAAGGTCTCGTCACTCTCAAGCTCATCAGGCAGCTGAGACTGGTTAGGTGCCGTGATCTCACCCTCCAGATCCTTTTGGGGATTTGGCGGCACGTGTCTCGAGTTTCAAGGGAAGACCTGAGACATTTTGAGATCGCTCTCTCGGGAACCTCGTTCGAGAACGGGGGCAGGTGTCACCAATTGGTGAGAGAGGAATTTAAGGTGGGTTCGGGACTTACACAGGCTGGCTCGCATGGGTGCCCTCTTAGATCACAAAAAAAGCCCCCCAATAATAAAACTGGTTCGAAATCGCCTCCCTCGGCTTGTATTCTTCCTGTTTTCTGCAATCACACACATATATGGCAAAGGTTTTAAGACAGGTGGGTCAGACCTCACCTTTTTCCTCTTTGATGAACCTACACAAGCATGCGCATTCAAAAAGAAAAAGAGAAGAAAGACGAGGGAGAGAATAATTCGAATGAGCGAGAGGATCAGAGCGGTGGCTAAGCTGGTGAATAATTGGCCTGACGTGGTAGCAAAATGGGTTCAGCAACTAAGATCGACTCACATGATTACTACTAGATGTCAGTACCAGCACCAACTAGCCAGGCACAATGGTTAGTCTGTCGTGGCAATAAAGCGGGCCAAGTAATCCTGACAGTACAACATTATGGCTAGACGACAGGACTACCATGGGAGGCTAACCTCAATCCCTCTTAGTCAAATGAAAGAGTACCAGAATGATGGTTATGAGGATGAAATAAGAGAAGAAGGGAAAAGAAAGAAGGAGGGAGAAGAAAGGACGAGAAGAGTACGAAAGGCGGGAGAATAAAAGAGTGAGAGGGAAGGAAGATGTAGTCGGTGCTAGGCTTCGTCAACTATTCTAAAAGAAGAGAGAGAAAATGCAATCGATGTTAAGCTTTACCGACTGTATTATACAGAGGAGGAGAGAGAAGATACAATCTGTACTAGGCTTCATCGATTGTTCCAGAAGAAGAGAGAGAAAATGCAGTCGACATTAGGTTTTATTGACTGTCTGAAGAAGAGAGAGAAAATGCAGTCGGTGCTAAGCTTCATCGACTATGTCAGAAGAAGAGAGAAGGAGAGACTAAGCCGGCATTAGGCAAGAAGAGAGAAGGAGAGACCAAGCCGGCATTAGGCTTACGCCGGTTGTGATGGAAGAGAAGTAAGAGAGAGAGATTTAGTCAGTGCTAGGCTTTGTCGATTGTGATAGAAAAGCAGAGAGAGAAATCCAACCGACGTTAGGCTTCACAGACTGGCTTCAGAAGAGAAGGAGAGAGAGAAATTCAACCAGCGTTGGGCTTTGTCGATTGGCTTAGAAGAGGAGGGGAAATCCCCATTCGATATTGGGAATGAAAGAAGAGGAGAGAGAAAACCCCACCCAACACTGGGAATGAAAAAACATGAGAGAAAGAAACCCACTTGATATTGGAAATGAAAGAAGAAGAGAGAGAAAACCCCAATCTATGTAAGGAATGAAAGAAGAGGAGAGAGAAAAGAGAGATAGAGATGAGAAAGAAGGGAGGAGAGAGAAAGAGATAGAGATGAGAAAGAGGGGAGAGAGAGATAAAGATGAGATAGAGGGGGAGAGAGAGATAGAGACGAGACAGAGGGAAAGAGAGAGAGATAGAGATGAGACAAAGGGGGAGAGAGAGATAGAGATGAGATAGAGGGAGGAGAGAGAAAGAGTGAAGGAGAGAGAAAGATAGAGATAAGATAGAGGGAGAGAGAGAGAAAGAGGGGAGGAGAGAGAAATTTACCCATTCGTAGGGTACTTGCCCTTTTCTTCTCTCTTCTCTATCTCTCTAAGATGTACCCACAAGCTCAAGTAAAAATCTGAATTTTTATTGATTGATCCAAGAATGAATCCGTCCTTTGCACAATGAGGCATTGCCTATTTATATAGAATTGAGCTAAAATATGGGTGTATACCAAAAAAATACCTAGAATTGAAGATAATTACAATTTAATTGAATTTAAAGAAACTCTAAAAATAAGAGCAAAAGGACTGTTTTGCCCTTACATAACAATGTGTGAAATTCCAAAATAGTCCCTGTTGCTGCTTGAGAACTTGCATGATCTTCCATGGTTGACCCGTTTTGATGCCTGTTTTAGATTATTTTTTTCTTGTAGGGCTTGGCATGGAAATCATTTTGATACCAACTTCGAGCCATGAATCATGTTTTCGAGCTATGATCTTGAAACTTGAATTTTAGATGAATCTTGAAAACTTCAGATTGATTGTGTGTTTGTTCCTTGATGTTTCTTTGTGATTTCTTCATTGAATCACACTGAGCATGCCGTCACGATTACGTTGCAATGAATGTAGCTTGATTTCGTGTTTGGATGAAGATTTTGTCGTCTTGAGTTTTTGACCGAAATCTTGAAATCCGATTGTCGAAATTTACAGCAGCTTTGATGC